ATAACTAGTTCTACTCGATATCACAACTTTTTATCTTAACTGAATTGTGAATTGAATATTGCTGGTGGACATTACTGTATACCCTCCAGGATTCCGGAATAATGTGATCAGAGGTTAGACTATATGGTATTATTTTCAATTAACTTACATATATTGAGAAGATAGTTGAAGGAGACAAATTTTGGGTGGAGAGAGAACAGAGGATCCTTCTCTGGCTCACTGTCATGGAATTGGTTGATGCAGAGTTAAGTTCACATTGCTTCATGAATGGTTGATGCAAAGAAAAGCTTCTCAACTATTTCAATTTTTGTAGGAAATGTATGTCTTTGCTTGTCAATTTTTTAATCTAAATGAAGAACCAACTGAAGCTTTTTCTGCTTAGGATTGATGGCTTTTAAACAAACAGTTTCATTATTGCTAATCCTTAACCCTCTGATTTAACTGAAACAAAAATCAGAAAACCGTCGCCCAGAGTTGAGAGAGTTTCTTTACCTTCTCGATTTGTGATACGAGTGACTGGAGAGAGTTTGAAAAGTTTGCTTAATTTTGAAGTGGTTTTATATATGAGGGCAGTGTTATCTTTTAAACTTTGTGAGGACTATTATTTGCAATAGTACAATTTGTCTATCATTAATGAACTTAATAAATATTTACAAATGAAAGGGCTTTAGTACATGATGAATACGGAATATATATTTATGTATAATGTATATTCATTTACAAAAAATTGTGATACAAAATGAACTTGTATTTATGAGAATGTATTTAAGAAATATATTTAAAGGTTCACTGGTTTATTATAAAAATATTCAATCCCTCGAATATAATTGGGTGATAATGATCATCTCTTTCTTAATAGACATTGTATATGTAAAAGGAGTAAAACTGCAACGTTAAAAATAAGAACAAGGAGATTATCTATCATAAATTTTCAATCACCTTATTTGGGTTCTTTTGACATCAAAATTCTTGATTTCTCTTCACACAGACACACTCACACACACACACACACACACATATATATATATATATATATATATATATAGTCTGTATTGGAGCTTCGCCGAGCCTATTCTGTATTTCTGTGTTAGAATTGAATGGGCTTTAATGCTCAAGGGTATAACATATGAGTATATAAAAGAAAACTTGAAAAGGAAGAGTCACCTGCTTCTCCAATCTAATCCTGTTCACAAGAAGGTTCCGATGCTTCTGCACAATGGAAAACAATCTCTGAATCTTTAGTCATCCTTGAGTACATAGAAGACACATGGAAACACAACCCTTTATTGCCTGCAGATGCTGTCGACCGGGCCATGGTGCGTTTCTGGGCAAAATATATTGAAGACGGGGTAATTCAAGAGTTACAGATTCATTTGCGTAAAAAACTTCACACGTGTCATCTATAAAAAATATTTATGAATAGAAGAGAGCTCTGTAGTTACAGGAATCATACTTGACCGTTTATTTGTATGGTTTATTGTGCAATGTGTGTTTAGTGCTTTCGCTGCTTACCGTGCCCAAGGACTTGAAAAAGAGAGTTGTAGAGTCTGCACTCTGCACAACAAAAACTAGGAGTTCTCAACGAGCAGATTCAAAACATGAAACTTTTTGGTGAAAACATGAGTTTCCTAGGCTTGGTTTTGGGTTCTATACTTCACTGGCTACAGTTTATAGAAGAACTTGGAGGCATAAAGCTGCTTGATCCTCGTAAGTTTCCATCACTGTATGAATGGACTCAGAAATTGCAGAAACCCCGCTCCTCAAAGAAAAAATGCCAAAGAAAGATGACTTGATCAACTACTTGCGAGCTAGCCAGGAAAGCGCTTAAAGATTACAATCCTGTTGAATTTCAGACTACATACAGGCAAAAACTTTATAAATATATAAAATGTGGTAAAAACTTTATAAATATATAAAATGTGGTGTAACATCAAATATTATACGGTTGTAAGAATTTCCTGACAACCCATTATACATACAAGCATTAATAATATGAAAGTTACATAAGATGGAGTTAATTAATTATTAGCATGAGATAAGGCCTTCTGACAACATTCTGGTTTATATCGACAACAAAATGGAATTCCAGCTTCACTTCTTTGAATCAATGTACCAACAAATAAAACCACCATTATTATCATCTTCAACACAGCAAATCTTTTTATATATAACATACTCCTTACGGTACTGAGAATAATTAATTAACTGCATTTCTTCACATATGTGGTTCATATTTTTTTACATTTAAAATAAGTTACCCATTAACCACAACCACCCTAACAAAACTAATTATGTAACACATTATACTTGATCATCTCAAATCCCTATTTATTATTCCTGGAAATTAAACATTCCCCTGAAAATCTTTTTATAAAATATTGTTGTCACTCTCTCCTCTTACACTATATAATCAAATAATTTGATTCAAATTCCAACTTATAAATATGTGTGTAAAGAGTTTTTTAAAGCTAATTTTTGCACAAAATTTAGTTGTTGCTTATATATCCTGCTTCCTTCTTGATGAAATGATCAATGAATATCCTGTATATTCTAATAACATACCTTACTGTGAATTTTATATATCAAGAATTGGGTTTAGGTATTGTTATGCCTCAAAAGTCAAGCCTATGTCAGCACAATTAATGTCTCTTTGTACCAGCTACCAAGCCCATATCTCCAAAGATATTCTCACTAACTTTATCTCATTTCAAAGAGATGAATGGACGAGAGCTTTTCATGTGTCAAGGCAGCTTGCAAAACACTCATTGCATTGAGTGCAAATGTGAATAAATTGGCACTCCTCTTCCCGAAGAAAAGGAGGCTGGGCTGAGATTTGAACTTCATTTCATTCTCTCTCTAAAAACACTGTATTTCTTCATCTTTGTATGCTTTACGGGCAAAATCATAGAAATAGTCAGAGATCAATAAAATAACATTGGATGTAGGAGTCGCTTGTTGCATCCGAACCACTATAAAAACCCCTCTTGCCAATCTTTTATTTATGTTTTCTGCAAAATATATAATCTCAGCTCCATATTCAAATCTCATGGATCCATCACGTGTGATTCCTAAGTCCGCTTAGAGCTTCTCATGTGCGAGTCGTTGGCGTCCAAAATCAAGCGTCAACAGTTTGGTGGCCCACGCAAGTCTCGAACCTGCATCCGAGTTCCTTGATGGCGTACTCAGATCTCAAACCAGCGTCAGAGTTCTCCAATCGCGTGGCCAGATCGTAGATCGCACGCGTTAGAATTCTTCGATCGCACATCAGAATTCCCTAATCGCGTGGCCAGATCGCAGATCGCACGCATCAGAGTTCTCTAATCGCGTGACCAGATCGCAGATCGCACACCTATACCATCCTGATCCTCAGCTTCAAATCACGGATCTTAGCTTTAAATCGCGTGTTCAGATCGCTGATCTCTTGTGCTCTTAGGTAGAGCTCGTTATGATTTCTAAGGTCGAGCTTAGGTCGTGTTCAGGTAGAGTCCAAGTCGAGCTGATATCGTACTCTTTATGTGCTCGGGTCGAGCCTAGGTCGTGCTCGTTCAGGTCGAGCCTAGGTCGTGCTCATTGTGTGTTCGGGTCAAGCCCAGGTCGTGCTCATTATGTGTTCAGGTCGAGCACAAGTCGTGCCCAAGTTGTGTTCGTTATGTGCTCCGGTCGAGCCCAGGTCGTGCACATTGTGTGTTCGGGTCGAGCCCAGGTTGTGCTTATTGTGTATTCAGGTCGAGCACAAGTCATGCTCGTTATGTGCTCGGGTCGAGCCCAGGTCGTGTTCAGGTAGAGTCCAAGTCGAGCCTAGGTTGTGCTCGTTATGTGCTCGGGTCGAGCCTAGGTCGTGCTCGTTCAGGTCGAGTCCAGGTCGTGCTCATTGTGTGTTCAGGTCAAGCACAGGTCGTGGTCGTTGTGTGTTCAGGTCGAGCACAGGTCGTACCCAAGTCGAGCCCAGGTCGAGCTTGTTCAGGTCAAGCCTAAGTCGTGCTCGTTATGTGCTCGGGTCGAGCTCAGGTCATGCTCGTTCAGGTCGTACTCATTATGTGATCAGGTCGAGCACAAGTGTGCTCAAGTCGAGCCAAGGTCGTGCTCGTTATGTGCTCAGGTTGTGCTCATACAAGTCGAGCTCTTAACAGATTTCAGGTCGTTTTCTTAACAGATCACGATCAGCTCCTAGCTCTCAGCACTCAATCGCGCCAGGAATAGTTCGAGCTCTTCAGTTCGAGACTACAGGCAGTTAGATCAAAGACTTTAATTCCTGAAGTGCAACGCACTTCAAAAACTAGGGGCCTTCTATTATGCCTCAAAAGTCAAGCCTATGTCAGCACAATTAATGTCTCTTTGTACCAACTACCAAGCCCGTATCTCCAAAGATATTCTCACCAACTTTATCTCATTTCAAAGAGATGAATGGACGAGAGTCTTCCATGTGTCAAGGCAGTTTGCAAAAGCTCTCATGGCATTGAGTGCAAATGTGAATAAATGGGCACTCCTCTTCCCGAAGAAGAGGAGGCTGGGCTGAGATTTAGCTTCAATTCTTTCTCTTTCTAAAAACACTGTATTTCTTCATCTTTGTATGCCTTACGGGCAAAATCATAGAAATAGTTAGAGATCAATAAAATAATAGTGGATGTAGGAGTCGCTTGTTGCATCCGAGCCACTATAAAAACTCTTCTTGCCAATTTTTTATTTATGTTTTCTGCAAAATATATAATCTCATCTCCATATTCAAATCTTATAGATCCATCACATGTGATTCTTAAGTCCACTTAGCGCTTCTCACGTGCAAGTCGTTAGTATCCAAAATCAAGCGTCAACAGGCATTTTTTGTTTAAATGAATTTCGCAAAACTACAAAGTGACTTGTTGAAAGTTAAAGCAGAGAACGACCAGCTAGAATTAATATAATATTTGCCACCACATCATTCATTGTCTTTTCTTTAAACATTATTGCATTGCTGTGAAGGAAATCACTTCACATTAATTTTCTAACAAATTGAGTTGATAAGCATGGGCGAAGTGAAGTTGATTGGGTCAACTATAAGCCTATTCTGCACTAGAATTGAATGGGCTCTCAAGCTTAAAGGGGTTGAATATGAATACATAGCAGAAGATTTACAGAACAACACTTCATTTCTTCTTAAATCTAATCCTGTGCATAAGAAGGTTCCTGTGCTCGTTCACAATGACAAACCCATTGCTGAATCACTGGTAATTTTGGAATACATAGATGAGTTGTGGAAGGAGAAGCCTTTGTTGCCTGAAGATCCATATGACAGAGCCTTGGCTCGATTCTGGGCTAAATTCGGTGATGAAAAGGTGGGCGAAAAACCAATATTTCAATAAGTCTTATTGTTTATAAAAATAAATAAAATTATTTCCCATCTTTATAATTAGGTTCATTAATTTGTGTTCTAAACTTGCATCTAAATGTGTTTGAAACTAGTGTTTGAGCATGGGAGCATATAGAGCTTGCTGGCAAGAAGGAGAAGAGAAGGAGAAAGCAATGGAGTGTGCAATAGAGTCATTTACATATCTTGAGAAGTTAATTGAAGGAAAGAAATATTTCAGAGGAGAAGAAATAGGATATTTGGATCTAGTATTGGGTTGGATCCCTCACTGGCTAAACATAATGGAAGAAGTTGGAGAAATGAAGGTTGTTGATGTAGAGAAGTTTCCTTTGATTCATGAATGGTGCCACAACTTCAACCAAATTCCATTCATCAACCAATGCCTCCCCCCAAGAGAAATGCTTGTCAACTATTTTACACCAAGGCTGATAATATTCTGCTTAAAGAGGATTTTTAGCATCAGCTCTCTTTCAAAGGAGCTCTTATACTGCTGGCATGGTTATTACTTACTTCGATCTTTCATACTATTTCTTATTGCAAAATGAATTAGTTGATGATAGCTTGATGTTGAGTTTATAGTCAAGTCAGTATGAGCTTGCCTGGGGACTGGGGTAGGTGCTGATAACTACTAACTTCAAGCTGAGGATGTTGTGAAGGGTAAGATGGTTATTTGCATAAAAAGAAACAGATTGTTAGCAAATCACTCCCAAAGAACACACCTTACTGTAAATTATACATATGAAATGTTGGGTTCAGGTATTTGTTTGATGGATTTTGCAAAAATACAAAGTGACTTGTTGAAACAGAGATCGACTAGCTATAATATATAAAATATTTCTCACATCACCTTTTATTTTATAGTTCAAACACATGATTCATGAAATAATCTTCATTGTCATTTCTTCAAACATTATTGCAATGGTTGCTTATAAAAAAAGCATATGTTTTGCTGGTAAAGGAGAACTTCATTTTTATTAGTTATATTTTGGTTGCATTTTTTTTTTTTCTTATCATTTTGGTTTTATTTTATTGTGTTTCTTATGCATGCGTGTTCGTTTAAATCATTTAGGTTATGTGAACTATATCTAGAGGGTTTATTTCATTTTCCTCTATGAGGCTGCTCAAATGAAACTCAACCCATCCTTCAAAAACTATTAAAAAAAAAAATCTTGGGTGCCTTTGGTTTATTATTCCTATCTATATTCTCAATCCTATTTTCAAAATATTTGTTTGTTTAATTATTTGGGAGATATTATTATGTTTTTTTAATTATTTTAGACCCCTTAAGTTTATTAATTTCATTAAATACCCCTAGAAAAAAAGTTTAAAAATTAACAAAAACACCCCTACTCACCCATAGTTGCTAGATTCCGACAACCACCATCGGTGGTAGCCGAAATCTGTCACAACGACCTAAAACCATCAAAAGTAGTCGATAAGTCACCGATCTGGTCTTTTTCGACCAGATCCACAATGGATCTGGTCGAAAAATGTCAGATCTGGCCATCAACGATAACCAAAGAAATAGCCATCGTTGACAGTCAATGACGGCCAAACCTTTTCCGGTCGTTGACAACCAGATCGACATATGTGCGGCCAGATCTAACCGACCTGAATCGTAATGCCAAATTCCGACCAGATTTCGACGGTGGTGGCCAGAATCTAGCGCTGTGTGTAGGTGAGGTGTTTTTGTTATTTTACAAAAAAATTTATATATTGGGGTATTTAGTTAAATTAGTAAACTTATGGGGTTTTTTGTAAATTTTTAAATTTTACCTCGTAATAATAACCCTATCCAACTATCCAATACTATCCCTAAAATTATATCCAAAATAATAAACTAAACGCACCCCATATAATTATAAAAAATTCCCTAAAAAATAGGGAGAACGACATGTTCTCACCCAAGGTTTGGCGAAACGACGCTTTCCCACCCATCAAGTTTCAAAATAATACTTTCCCACCCTTCGTTAGATTCTATTATGTTTTCCGTTAATATTTTACTGAAAAGACGAAAATACCCTTAAATATTTTACTTTATAAATTTTTTATTATTTTTTAATTAGCCAAAAAGTCAAATATTAAAAAAAAAAAATAGTTAACCTCACTTAAAAAGTTAGAAATAATGCTATAAAATTGTTTAAAGTTAAATAATCTTAATACTGTATTTATTTATAATGTCATCAATATCACATCACTATTATTTATAATGTTTTTCATTTTTACTAATTAACATAAAAAATTAATATTTCTAATTAATTAAATAAATAAAGAAAAAATATATCTTTATACTTGGACTAATAAATAATCGAATAAAGACTTTGAATTAACTACTTTTAATTTATAATAAACTATTTAAGAGTATTTTCGTCTTTTCAGTTAAATATCAATTGAAAACACTAACATAACCTAACGAATTGTGAGAAAGTGTCATTTTAAAAATTGATGGATAGGAAAGTGTCGTTTCATCAAACCTTGGGGTGGAAAATGTTGTTCTCCCTAAAAAATATCAAAACCTTTTATAAAATTATCAAAACCCGCACTATTTTATAGTTTGGATTGTAATATATATCTTTATAGTTTTCTCATTGGTTTAATTATTACTTTAATTTCAATTTCATTAATGATATTGGTGCTATCTACGCAAGCAATGATGTATAATTAGCTAATTAATTATTTAATCCTGAATGAACCCTCTTTTCATTTTTTTACTACAATTGTCACATCGGTCAAAATTATAATCCTTTGTATATCCATAAAAGCTTGGTATAATTTTACTCACAACCAACAAGAGGAATCATCAATCATCCACACAAGGAACAAGAAAGCTCAGCTCGTCTTTATTCCTACACCAGGCATCGACCACCTCTTCTCCGCCGTGGACCTGGCTAAGCTTCTCGTCCACCACCTCTCCATCACCGTCCTCATCATGAAACTACCTTCTCACTCTAAAGTCAGCGCCTACCTCGACTCAGTCTCTGCAGCCAACCGTATCAACTTCGTTCATCTTGCAAACGATCACATTCCACTTCCTGGATCCAATCCCAGAAAATTCTTCCCTTTATATATTGAATCTCATAAACCCCACGTCAAAGCAGCTGTCTCTAAGCTTCTTCATTCCGAGTCAGCCTCCGATGACTCACCCAGACTCGCTGGGTTCGCTCTCGCATGTTTTGTACAGTCATGATCGATATTGCTGATGAGCTTAGAGTTCCGAGCTATATTTACTACACATCGAGTTGAGGGTCTCTCGGTTTGATGTTTCACGTGCAGGCTCTTTATGATGATCAGAACATGCACACCGTTGAGTTGAAAGACTCGGATACCGAGTTGGAAGTACCAGTCTCGTTAACCCAATTCCTGCTATGGTTTTGCCTTCTGCGTAAATGGAGAAAGATTGGTCTATGATAGTGTTTGAGCAAGCAAGGAGGTTCCGAAGGGTTAAGGGTATTGTTGTAAATTCATTCATGGAGCTGGAGTATAATATGATAAAGTCTTTCTCAAATGGTGAAACTGAGACCAACATCTCACCCGTTTATTCTGTAGGACCCATTTTGAATCTTGAGGGTGATAGCATTGATTTAGGGTCAGGTGGGTCCAAAACAAAAGCAGAAATCATGGAGTGGCTTGATGATCAGCCGCCATCGTCGGTTGTGTTCCTATGCTTCGGGAGCATGGGAAGTTTCGATGAGGATCAGGTGAAAGAGATTGCCTGTGCGCTCGAGCAGAGTGGTCATCGATTCTTATGGTCCCTACGTCAACCTCCACCAAAGGGTCAGGTCGCCATACCGAGTGACTACACAAATCCAACGGACCTTCAAAATCATCTTCTCGTATAAGGTTCATGGATTCGTTCGTCAAAAGCCATTGAACCCTCGTCAAAGAAGCAGTCACAAAGCTAATTCAGACGGATTCAGCCTCTGGTGACTCGCCTCGAGTCACCGGGTTCGTTCTCGATATATTCTGTGCGGACATGATTGAAGTTGCGAATGATTTTGGAGTTCCTAGCTACATTTTCTACACCTCCAAGTTCTTTGTGATAAGCAAAACCAGCCCATCACTGAGTTGAAAGACTCGGTCATTGATTTGATTGTCCCGAGTCTCGTTAAGCCGTTTCCTGCTAGGAATTTGCCTATCGTGTTCACAGAGAAAAAGTGGACTACTGTTATGTTTCAACAACCGAGGGGGTTTAGAAAGCAAAGGGCATTATTGTAAACAATAGTGCTAGTCTTACAAAGAAGCCTACAAAGGAGGCATACAAAGTTAATCTCCACCCTTCATCTTCATCATTTCTCTCTCTCTCTCTTTCTCTTTTTCCGTTTTTCTTTTGTTTTTTCCTTCACTTTGTAAGCTTCTTTGTAGACTTCTTTGTAAGGATAGACTTATTGTATTGTAAATACATTCAAGGAGTTGGAATCCTATGCGGTCGAGTCTTTCTCTGATGGTAAGTTGAAAAACACCCCACCTGTGTATACACCGGAACCCATTTTGAATTTAGAGGGTGATGAGATTGATCGAGGATCAGGTGGATCCACCTCAATAACAGAGATCAAGGAGTGGCTTGATGATCAACCGCCATCATCGATTGTGTTTCTTTGCCCCGGGAGCATCGAAAAGTAATCGGATGAGCAATTTGGATGTTCACAAGAATTGATTCATTCAAAAATTTGTAATTTCATTTTCCCTTTTTGTGAGAATAACAAATGTTACATGGATTGCGGAACTCAGAAAGACCATGTTTACTGTATAGCACATCAACATCTATAACCGAGTGGCATGATCGTAGAGTTACCAGGGTAGTTGACACCATCTACCGCGTTCAAAACACTAGTAAAAGGGTGCTGAACTATTTCATGTGAATTACAATTACCCAATCCTATCTGAAAATCAATCCTACTCGAATCAAATTTTCAGGTATGCGGCAAACAGGTAGAAAGCTTGGATCTTGATTCATCTTCCATTTCATCTGTCCGACTCAATATACAGAACTTTTGAGACAAGACCCAGTTCCTGAACATGCACAAGAACAGCATCCGTGCAGTTGTCAGGAATGCCGCGGCCGGCGCTGAGGCTGAACTGATAGAAGCTTCGCCAAAGCTTGAGATCGTGGCGAGTTTCAGTGTGGGGCTTGACAAGGTTGACTTGGGGAAGTGTAAAGAGAAGGGAATAAGAGTCACAAACACTCCTGATGTGTTGACTGATGACGTGGCGGTATTTGAGGAGTGGCAAGTGGAAGAGAGGAGATTATAAGTTGACTACTAAGGTTAGTGGGATTTTTATTAATGTTAGTTTGGTTTTTGCTTTCGTGGCTTAGTATGAAATTGCCTGATTTAATGTTCTGCTAGCATTTTTCTTGGTGTTGGATTTGGCAAAGTGGAAAATTTTGTTGTTAATATTTAGTGTTTTTAGAGTCTAATTGATAATTAGTGCTGAAACCATTATAACATTATGAATAATGACCTTATAAGAACTTAAATGTGATGAATGTATAATCCTGCAAAGGGTTGTTCTGTGATGTTGGTGATGGTGGTAGTATAGTGATTCGTGGTGTTGAATATGCTTTTAAGCACTAATTGTTAATATGTGGTTTTGTATTGTGTTGTTGGTGAGGAGTTTGTTTTCATGGAGTACTTTTGTCGATTTGAGTTAGAGTTGTTCAATTCTCATGTTCTGCACTTCATTCTCTGTTGTTCTCATTGGCAGAGGGCCGAAATCCACATAATTGGCCTAAACACTATGAGGGTAACATCTGAGTGTAACAGTGGCAATTGATTATTTGGGAAACTGCAGAAATAATTGTATGTTAATTTTGTGACAGTTTTGATCAGGACATAAACAGTTATGTAGGAGTGCTTTTACTTGCCTTAATATCCCTACTTATCTGGGCTTTTAGCCGCCAAAAATTGAATACTTATTGTTTTGTTGTGGATTGAAATAAAGTGGTGAAGGTTAATTCTACAGTAGTTACGATATGCACTTGGTTTATCTAGAAAGTTACATTGGGCTCAGTTCTGTATACATTAGGTGTGATGCTCTGTTGTTCCGAATCCTAAGTTAAAGGTGGTTCAATTCCAAGTCCAGTTCTTGCCAATTGGTGTTTTTAAATTTCTTGTTTCTTTTCCCTAAAAAAAAATGAAGAAAAAGAAGATATCTTCAGTGTCTATTACGAATTAAACATCAACTGTATTGTTGACGAGAAAAGTTGGATGAGACTAACATTTCATCATCTTTGTTCTGAAAAATATCTTTGTTTTGTGAATTCAATAGCTTATTGTTAGTTTAGAAGCTTTTCAAAATAGTAATGGCATTCATCTCAATCGCTAAATACGCCAAAGATCTTCTAAAGTAGACTGGAAAGCTACAGTCAAATGGCTTTGGGAATTGAACTTGCTGCTGTAGATTGTGATGAGTTTGACACTCTTGCCTTCTATAGAAGCACAGTAGGTGCTCTTCAATACTTAACCTTAACCAAGCCTGATAAAATAAGTCAATTTCTTAAGCAACCAACTCAGTTCCAGTGGCAGGCCTGCAAAGAGTATACCTTATTTTATGGCATTTAGTTCAATCCAGCAAGTACTATGCAGTTGGATTGCTATGCAAATATAGTTGGGCAAGCTGTGTACAAGATAAGAAGATCTACAAGTGGATGCTATGTTTTTCTTAGTCCTAATTTAGTGCAATGGGGTTGTAGAAAACAGAAAAGTAATGGCTTTATCATCCACTGAGGCAGATTATAGAGCTTTGTAGAACCTATTGTGATTGAGGCAGAATATAAACAAAACATATTGAGATTGATACACATTATGTAAGAGAACAAGTTGTAGCAAATTTTATAAGAATTTAATATGTTCCTAGTGAAGTGCAAAATGTTGACATTTTTACAAAACCATTGGTGGCAACTGGCAAGACAGTTTTGAGTTCTTAAGAAGTAAACTTATTGTTGTACCATCTTCTCAGAATTTGAAAGGGCAAGTAATTAGTGAAGGTAAAGAACAAGTTACAACAGTAGCAGAAGATGCGTAATAGAGAATTTGAAGCAAGAGTAAAACGAAGTAGTAGATATTGAAAAGATTGTAGCAGCAGAACAGAAGTACTGAAGAGGTGCAGTACAAAGTTGAGTTAATTGTAGCAGTAGAAGTACTGATTAGATCCACCAGATTATAACAATTAAGCACCAGATTAATCAACTTCACCCTGAATTTTACAAAATACATCAGTTACTAACCCAAACATAAACTCTGTCAATAATCCATTAGAAAATTCACATAACAAGTGAATTGATATTGGACTTAAAACAGAACAAATATATATAACAAGTGCAGTTTAGAAAATTCGTCAAATTGAAGACAGTGAATTGAATTTTCTTCTGCTTCCCTTCAAACAGACTAATATTCATTGGATTTCGATGGAGCCAACTGAAAAACCATCAAAAGAAATATAATTAATCACAAGTACATTTATGTTGGAGCCTCTTGAAACAAATTCAATTACCTGATTAGAAACGATGAGCATGTTTCTAAGTTTCAGTGTTCTTTTGACTTAAAATCTTTAATTATGATAATTTAAAAATAGAAGTACCTTTGCTTCCGCATGCACACTTTTATTCTTCATCCCATGAAATCTTGTACTTATCTTTGGACATCGTTGGACTCCCAAAAATTCAAATGGTGGTGCTACAAATATGAAGTGATAATCCACATGGCAAAAGTTGGTGAGTCTTGGTAAATCTTCTAGGATTATATACTCAAGTTGAGGCAACTGGATTTCTTTCTCATCAATCACATCATTATCTCCAAATATTTCTTTTAATTCAGAGTTATCAACTACTGTTAGGCTTTCCAGTTGTTGAAAACCCCGAGCTATGGAGATAGGAAACAGATTTTTTAATTTATGGCACTTTTCCACTTCAATAACTAATAGAGTTTGGAGAAGATTTGCTCCAACTTCTTCACCATCTTTAACATCAATGATTTGCTCCAATTCCGCACATTCTCTGATGCGCAACTCTTTCAATTGCAACATATGATTTCGAGCAACAATTGGTGAGAAGATATGTTTATGCTTGTTGAAGCGGTCTTCCATGCTTAATGTTTTAATTTTTTTGAAGAAGCCACATCTCAACCCGGAGAGAATTCCATCCCACAATTGACTACTGCAATTACTCATCTCTACAACCTGCAGATTCTGAAACTGCAAAACAATGTTATAAAAAGTTTATTAGATAAATTTATGCCAATAGATTATAACGTACTGCCTACTAAAAAAAAACGTAAGAGAATCTTTTATATATTTTATTTAATTAACTAAAAAATTCAAAAATTCTAAGAGAAGCAGAAAGTAAATTAAACAATAACAAACTAGATTCATTTATAATTTTAAGTGAATGGTCTGATATGTTATTGCTGAATAAGTTTTATTAAACTTGGAAGAATTTTGTTCCCATAAAGGGAGTGTATGGTAATTGGTAAACTTAAATTTTTAACAATTTTTTAATAATGTACATAGAATATCTATCCAATTAGTACTAGCTATTATTATTGAATATTACTAACTCTTCATGCATAAAATATCTATCCAATTAGTAAAGGCCTAATAGATAAAAGATTTAACATACCTCTTCAACAATGAAAGTTGTAGTTAATTTGGAACAGTCTTTTACTTTGAACTCTTCCAAAGCTGGACAACATGCAGCATATTTTTCTGGAAAAAAGCTTACTAGCTTTGCAAGTCCTTCTAGATGTAATTTCTTCAATTTTGGAAGCACGATGTTCTTTTGATCTCCTCCACCTACATATTCTTCTCTTTCATGATCCAAATAAAATACTTGTTCCAAATTCTCACAATCTCTTACTTGAACTAATTTCAATTGACCCAAGCTCTGAGTAAGAGTAAATGAGAAGATATGTTTCAGCTTCTTGCACTCGATTATGGATAAAGTGGTTAGATTCTCCAACCTTAGAACATAAGCAGAACCTTTACATAAACCTTCTAGTTCTTCCAAATCATACAAATCCAAACTCTTTAATTTTGGAAGTGATAATTCATGTTGTTATCCTTCCAACTGGAATACCTCTTTTACTCCACAATTTGTTATGCTTAATTCTTCAAATTTTGGGAGGTTGATGTTTTTCTCATCTCCTGAACCTACATTTTTGTCTAGATAAAATACTTATTCCAAATTCTCACAATCTTGTACTAAAAGTGATTCCAATTGACCCAATCTCTCAACAAGAGTAAATGAAAAGATACGTTTCAGCTTTTTGCATCCACTTATTGTGAAAGTGGTTAGATTCTCCAACCTTAAAACATGAGCGGGACCTTTCCATAAACCTTCTAGTTCTTTCAGATTATACAAAGACAAATTCTTTAATTTTGGAAGTGATAATTCATGATGTTGTATTTCAATGATTAGATCTTCCAACTGAAATACAACTTTTGCTCCACAATTTTGAAGAAGCCACGTCTTAATCCAGAGAGAACTTTGTCAACAAACTGATTATTACAATTGGCCACGCTTAGATCACACAATTTCTGGGGAAAACAAATCACTTTGATATTATCAAAATTTATTAGATCCACCCGGTTATAACAATTATGCAAATCTATGTTTCTTTATAGTATAATAATAATAATAACAATAATAAAAGTTGTAAGTAATAAAATATGACTTATATGATCGACACGTCAACAACATTTATATAATCTAGTAGACATCATGTACAAACATAATTTGATTACGAAAAAATATAATAAACATTGATTTGTGAACGTTGATTACACTAGTTTATATAATACTAATAAAGATTATAATACATTAAAAATGAGGCTGAACCAAAAATTTATGAATATAATAAGGTAAAAAAGAAATCCAATTAGGCCACTAAGTTGTCATTAATTATCAATCGGGCCATTGTGACTAATCAGGAAGACCAAAATTAATTTAATTAAAATAATAAAGCAAAAATAATCTTGGGCACCAGTTATTTTTCCTTTAGATGGATTAGGGGGGTGACAGAGTGGGTTGGGCCTAGGGCCACTGTAGCCCATGAAAAGTCGTGGGAAAATGGTGATTAAGTTTCTTGTGTCAATTTGTATTATATTTTAAATACTGAATGTTAATGCAAGGGAACATTTAATTAATTTAATATAAAATAACACTTTTACTTCAAAAAAAATTATTGTTAAACTTCAAAATTTAACAATTTACTCTAATTACACAAAAGTTAATTAGAATAAATTTAATTTTATTAAGGGTAAGTAATTGTATAAATTTAATTTAGTTCTTTTTAAAAATATAAAATTACTCACAAAGTATACAAAAATTAAAAAATTAAAATTAAAAAGCAATAAAACATTAGGGCCCTTGGACTTAACAATCTGTCAGGGGTGAATAAAATTAATGCCAATTGTATTGAAAAATATATATCATAATTGTTAGAAATTCTAAAATAATGTATAGCTAATGATCCATCTAAAGGTCTAATAGATAAAGATAATTTTTCATTGTTGATATCTCACTAAAGTACTATCTATTTTAATATTGGTCAAATTCAGCATGTTCGTCCATTTTAGGCAAAAAAAAAATGTGACAATAATTTGATGAGAGAAAAAATAAAATTGAAAACATACTCCAAAGCTGGCAGAGTTGAATGATATTTTCTGGAAAGAATCTGGTAAGCTTTTCAAGTTTGTAAGGTTTAGCTTTTTTAAATTGGGCAACTTGATGTCCTTCATTACTCTGAATTTAGTTCACTTTTCCATGAAATACTTGCTTCAACTCTGCTGCATCTTCTATTTCAAGATTTTTAAGTTGTATAAGACCTGCTGCAACAAACACTGGAAAAACATATTCCAATCTCTGGCAATTTTCAATTTGGAGATCTTCTAATTTCGACAATATTTTCTCTCCCCTGCCATTATCACCCTCTTCTATCTTGATCAGGAACTCCAAACTCTCACAATGTTCTACATGGAGTGATTTCAACTGCCCCAAACTTTGGGCAATTGATAAAGTGAAAAGATAAGCCAAGCTTTTGCACCATCCCACATAAACATCTGTAAGACTTTGGAAGTTTACAAAATGAATGGACATGGGCCCCTTCCATATACACTGCAATTCTGGTAACGATACCAACTCTAACTTTGCTAAACTTGGATGCAACTCAAGATTTTGACAACCTGTTACTCTTTCCAAAATAAGATATTCTACACTGTGATATAGTGCTTTAAATAATGCAGTCAATAAGGTTGCATCAATATCAGCAATTATCAAAGATTTTGATGATTCTGAATATTCATAAGTTCTATTCACAACAATTTCATACCTTGAAAGTTTGGAGAAAGCAAAGTCTTTTGCAAGGCATTTTGAATTTATTTTCAAATACAGAACAGCCAAGCGAGATAGACAATTTACCTCTGAAAGCCTAGCATTGCTCGTTTCTATACTCTTCTCTTCAACCTCCCTTTCTTCAAAGATGTCCTCCATGTATAATTCTTCTAATTGAGAAAAGTTTCGTATCAAATTGGAAGGAATTCTTTTTAGCTCAGAACACTTACGTAAATCCAACACTCTTAGTTCCTTAAGTTCACTCAATTCTATTGGTAATTGGTCAAAACGAGAATATCTAAAGCTAAGAATCTCAAGTTTGTTAAGCTTGGCAAGGAAAGAAATATCTCTCAAATTACAACCAAACAACTCAAGAGTCTTGAGATTTGTCAAGAATTGAAGTGATTTCAGTGAAAGGTCTGCATATCTTCAACTTGCAACTTCTAGTGCTTTCATCTCTTCTAAACATTCATCTGAAACTTTCAACAACTTAGACTTGTCATAGTGATAGTATAACGATTGTTCTTCACCACCCAATAGCAATATTTTAAGCTTAGGACATTCCAGTCTAACAGAGAACTCTTTTAGTTTGATTTCCATCAAGGAGATTGCTGTATATTGTTTCCAGCCTTTCTCCCTTGTCAACTGCGTCAAATCCATGCGAATCTTGCTCATGAACATGTTCTCCCCCTTTGATGTTATCCATAGACAAGCATCACGAACTATATCATGCATTCTCACACATTCTTTTATATAACCATCTAATAGCAAACCCAAATCTTTCAGGGTTTTAACCATTAAATGTAGGCCCCCTCTTGCTTCTTCAATGGATGAAACACCTTTATATAAATCTAACCCCACTCCTACTCTAACCAAATCCTCCAAAGCAATTTCAAAATCCTCAGGAACAAGTGAACACATTAAAAAACAGAATTTAATTTCTTCTGTCTTCAAAAAATCATAACTCAACTTAAGACTGGCATAGACACCTCTCTCTGTACTATTAACAAGACATAAATCCTCCAGTTTTGACTTTTTTAGTTTTTCGCACGCAGATTCCCACATTTCAATATTTTTCTCTCCATTCAAGTACCTTCCAATGGTTACAAGTGCTAAAGGCAAACCATCACATTCTTTAGCAATTTCAGTAGCCAAAGTATTCAAGCTGACAGAGTCATCATCTACACCTGCTTGCCTTTTGAGTAAAGTCACTCCTTCGTCTTCCTCTAAAACATTTAGAGGAATTAACGATTGATACTCCCTACGAGTGTATACTTTTTTGTTGCGGGTTGTCAGAAGCATTTTGCAATCTTTGCTCAATGGAACACCTATTTTTTCCTCGAAATTGAATTCTTCCCAAACATCATCGAGGATTATAAGGCTATTATTAGAATTTGACAATCTTGAAGACAACCTCTGAGCTCTTCCCTCTTCAGTTTCCTCCGTGAGTTTCAAATTTAGGAAGTCAGCCAACTGACCTTGAATATTTCTGAAGTTTGGAGTTTGGGATACAGTAGCCATCGCAACCTCCTTAAAGATGCCCTTTTCTTTGACNAAAAAAAAAGTGAATATATTTGTGTGTTTTGGTAGGGAAGGCATGCACCTTTTGGTTAAAGAAAGCAGAAGAATCGAAAAAGCTTTAAAAATTAAATCAGAAGAAATGAAAGAGTAAAGAACAACAAAGACAGTTGGAGAAGTTATATTGCATTTAATGAACTTTCATTGAAAAAAATAAATAAATATTAAATTTTCTTGAAAAAGACGCTAAAGTGAAGGGTGTAATGTATTGGCTTTAATAAAAAACAAATAAAAAATTGTTTGTTGGTGGACACATTTCGATCGTATGAGAGGTGAGGGATTGATGGGTGAGATAAAAAAAGGAGAAGTAGACAAAACATTGATTGAGTGATGAGATCAAGAAAATGACGTCGTTAGTTCAACCGAAAGATCAAGAAAAAAAATGGCATCATCAGTTTGACTTTTTGATCAAATCGGTTCGACTTATCTATCAATTTGGGGCCCAATCACATGATCGGGTTATTGACCTACTCGGTTTTTAAAACATTGGTTTCAAGTTAAGACTAATTAAAAATATTATTTAATCGAAGTTATTAATTTATATAAGTTAAACTATATTTTTTAACTTACACAAAGTCAATCATTACTTAACAGGTCTACCTTCAATTAAAACATTTTCTTTTAATTTTAAGATCAACATGTTAAACTATATGATTTATTTTGGTTTCATGATGATACTTTAAGAAGGAATTTTTAAATTAGGTCTTCTCCGTTAAGCTACATCCATAGAGATTTGGTTATTACATTTTCGAAAGGTTTTCATTTTCATTCATAGTGTAAATATTCAACATAGAATCATTATTTATCGAATGATGTTAATTATTTTAGTAAGTGTCAAAAGCACAAAAGAAAAAATGACATTTCTCGTACCTTTTTTCTATTAAGAGATATCTTGACACGATATAAAACTACACACTGTGAGAGATTATTATCATGACCTGTATTCTGCAAGTGAAACAATAACAACAAATAGCTAAACAATAAATGATTCAATATTATTCTAAACAAAAAATTTTGTCTTCTTTAATCCACNATGCTATTACTGATCTTATACTTTTTCTTTGTAACATTGAACCATGTAACATAATCGTGATTAGTGAACAGGAAAACTTCTAATGTATCATGATTATTTGTTTGTTGCTACTACTGTTTTATTTGTTTGCTGTAGAAAAGAAAATGTATCATAAAAGTGTTGTGAGACGTCCTAGACATTATAAATATGTGTTAAATCGTAGACAGAAACGTGGTAATAGAAATTGAGGGATTGGTGGTCTGAAGAACTGTATGGGACCCATACAGGTGTGAAGGTAATTTCTCTAGCACATCCAGTGGCCAGGCCTAGGGCCAGTGGGAGGCAAGGGAAATTTAATGGCCAATAGTAGTGCAATACAGCCTCTAGTGGAAACAGTGTGGCAGGTACCATGGAGAGCAGTGTTGGGGTGCAACTCTAGTCTGTTGTCAATGCAGACCATTTGGACATATTAAGAGAGAGTGCGCCAAATTGTCTCAAAGTGGAAGTGTATTTCAGAGGGCTGTCCAGTACGGGCTAATAGGGAGGGAGTAGTCGTTTTAAGGACAACAGAGGTCCCAACCTAAAGAAGGGTCCAGGTCATGGCAATAGAGAGAGGCAGAGATGGGACAACCTTGTATTTAGACCAGAGTATAAGACATGACCCAACAAGAGGCCTAGACCATACCAAAGGAGGTAACGTTTTAGAAAGTCAGGAATGCCAAAATCAATGTTTTGTAGAAAGCACCAAGTAACTCCATCTTGTCTAATTTCAGCGGTGACTGTTAGGAAGCATTTTTGGAAGGGATGTCAGGTGCAATTGCCTTTTGTGGTGGATACAAGAGTGTATGGATATAGATTGGAAGGTATTTCGATGGTAAGGAAATTGGAAAGTTTAACTTCAAGATGTGGTGGTCATGAATTAAAGAAAGATTGTAGGGTTTGGCTCCAGATATTCGTTTTGCCAACTAAGTGAAGCGAACATCAGAGTGGCACAACGGAAGCTAGTGGGCCCATAACCTGCAATCCCCAAGACTGTCCCTTGGATAGAAATTCAATGGAGTGATCATACAGAAGAGGGAACAACTTGAGTGTGTGAGAAGGATATCTGTGCACTGTATCCGGAGTTGTTCTAATCAGGTGTTTAAATTTCGAAGACGAAATTTCTTTAAGAGAGAAAGGTTGTAATATCCCATATTTTATGGGTTATTTTATAATATTTATTTTGTTTTCTCGGGGGAAAAAATGTGAGTTTCTAAATTTTTGTTGGGGAAATTTTGCAAGAAAAGCTGATGTGGCAGGTCATGGTAAGAATAAAAGAATAATTGGGGTATTTTCGAAATTTTAGAAAATTGTGAAACATATAGGTGGGCTGATCACCCAAATGGAGAAGAATCGAGAAGAAAGAAAAGAGAGGAGAGGAAGAAGAAAAGAAGGGAGAGAGATGAAACCGAGAAAAGAGACAGAGAGAGAAGAGTAGAGAGCGATAAAGGCTGCTGGAAAAGTGGCCGTTGGCGGGTAAGCTCGGTGAAGGGAAGGAGTAGAGGAGGATTAAGCATGTGGGAGGTGAGTAAAGCTTGAGATTTCCCTCTTTGATGATTATTGATTAATTTGATTTGTGTTTTTTATGATTGAATAAAATGGTATGAGATTAAACTGAAAAGGTAAGATTAATTACAATAATGTTATGTGGATAGAACATATATGTGATTCCTAAGCAAAAAATTGGTTAAAGGTGTGTTTTTTTTATATAAGGGTTACTGTGCAAAGACTAACCATCTGGAATTCCGAAAATCGTTTACATGTTTTGGGTTTTTGACTGAAGCGGAATTTTGGATATGTTGTTGCAGACTTCTTGAGGAGTGTTTAGAAATTTGTTTCACTCAAAAACTCGAAGTATTGGATTTTTATGGATTTTTTAAAGTTGCCCTACAATTCTGGAATTTGGGTTTCCTGCAGAACGAGTATTTTAGTAAACGATTTGATGCATCTATGCTTATCCAAATTTAATGATTTTAANCATGAAAATAATACGATGATCCATGGTAATTAGAAAGTTTGTACAAGGATGTGAATTACCTTGCTGGGCATGAGTGGGTATGAATCAAGGAAATTATATAAGGAAAGTGTGGTTTCGTTAAGGGAATAGTTACGTGTTAGGTGAAATGCAAGTTTTGCTCATGCAGGTTTAAGGTTGAAAGTTATTTTCATTTATAAATTGCATTTGGTTGGCTGACAGACATATGTTCATTAGCATGATGTTTATACACATTAGAAGCACTCTGATACATTTGTTCTGTAAACCGTTTTCTAGGATTTACATTTTCATAACTATGTTCTGTGTTACACTATTGTCATTAAAGTTTTTATGAATGGAATTGGTAAATTGTTTTTGAAAAAAAAAAAAAAAAATCACCCTCCACTTGCGATCTTGAGTCCCTTGGAGTGCCCGGATTCAACAGGATAGGGAATACCCGAGAGGGGGTGTGACAATAAATCCTTGTATGGTTTGATTAATTTTGCCCTTTTGGAATAGATTAATGCTAGGTAATTAGCATAAAAAATCTCATCATATTCAATGGGTGAAACATGGCAATCTTATACTGTGTTATTTGGATTAATAATAATTATTTAGATAAGATAAACAAATAATTAGCCGTGTTACTATTTTCTATGCTATATAAAATTTGAAAAATAAAAAAAATAAAATAACAGAGAATTTATATACCTTGCTTAAAAGCCAATGATATTTTCGTGAAATGTCAAGCTTTGAGTAACTACCAACAAAGCACAAGCTTTTAACGAGACTTTTATCTGAAAGAGGTAAGACAAGAAGATAAATAAGATGTGAAGTAATTAAACATAAATTAATGTTAAAAGAGGAAAAACTATGAAACATTGTTGATCATTCCTTTAAATAATTTAATTATAAAAAAAAAAAAAAAAACTTTTTTTATTATTTTGTTCCTGTTTTCTAACAAACAAAGTCAGTTCAGACTAGAGTATGTATTTCATTGTAAGTATTAGTGAATATTCTAGAAGTCCCTTGGTTAATGTTTGCTCAATTACCACCCCAAGAAATAAAATCACATCTAACCTTACTAATATTAAAAAATTTATTTCTAAATAACATAAGATATATATATACATACACAATTAAACCTCAATAAATTAATATCATTGGGACTACAAAAATTTATTAACAAATCAATATGTTAAGTAATCGTATAAATTAATAAATTATTAATTTATTGAGGCATTTCTTATTTTCTTTTTCCAAAACATTGAATCTAATGCCTTACATATTGTGTATAGTTAATGTGATATACGAAATAACTCATAATTAATGCACTTAAAGCAACAATCACATTGTATAATTTTCTCTTGCAATACAAGAACACTGCACTAGTGGTTTTTAATGCACTAAAAAAAGTTAGAGATGAAATCCAAGAAGACATCAATTTTAAGAGGAAACAAATAACATTGGACTCATTTTATAAAAGGCCTCCTTATTGAGTCATGCATATATATAATTTTAATGTATAAGGAGATTATTAGTTTATATATCAAGTGGTACTTATGTGTGTGTGTGTGTGTGTGTGTGTTTTTTTTTTTTTTTTTTAATGTATTGTCTTATAAATTTAGCAAATTATTAATTTACCATATTGGTCCTAAGTCAGGACCAGTCAAAAGCATTATTTAATTGAAGTTACTAATTTATCGAGTATTAATTTATTGAGGTTTAACTATATTTTTTAACTTACACAAAGTTAGCCATGGCTCAAGAGATCCACCTTCAGTTAAGACAGTTTCTTTTAATTTTAAGATTAAAATATTAAACTATATGATAAATTTTGGTTTCATGAGAATGCTGTAAGGCAGAAGTTTTAAATTAGGTTTACTCCGTTAAGCTACATCCATGGAGATTTCCTTA